GTGTGAGGGGGGGGACTGAGTGTGTACAGGTGTGAGGGGGGCACTGAGTGTGTACAGGTGTGAGGGGGGCTGAGTGTGTACAGGTGTGAGGGGGGCTGAGTGTGTACAGGTGTGAGGGGGGGGCTGAGTGTGTACAGGTGTGAGGGGGGCTGAGTGTGTACAGGTGTGAGGGGGGCTGAGTGTGTACAGGTGTGAGGGGGCTGAGTGTGTGCAGGTGTGAGGGGGGATGAGTGTGTACAGGTGTGAGGGGGCACTGAGTGTGTACAGGTGTGAGGGGGGCTGAGTGCGTACAGGTGTGAGGGGGGCTGAGTGTGTACAGGTGTGAGGGGGGCTGAGTGTGTACAGGTGTGAGGGGGGGCTGAGTGTGTACAGGTGTGAGGGGGGCTGAGTGTGTACAGGTGTGAAGGGGCTGAGTGCGTACAGGTGTGAGGGGGGCACTGAGTGCGTACAGGTGTGAGGGGGGCACTGAGTGCGTACAGGTGTGAGGGGGGCTGAGTGCGTACAGGTGTGAGGGGGGCTGAGTGCGTACAGGTGTGAGGGGGGCTGAGTGTGTACAGGTGTGAGGGGGGCACTGAGTGTATACAGGTGTGAAGGGGGCTGAGTGTGTACAGGTGTGAGGGGGGCTGAGTGTGTACAGGTGTGAGGGGGGCTGAGTGTGTACAGGTGTGAGGGGGGGCTGAGTGTGTACAGGTGTGAGGGGGGGCTGAGTGTACAGGTGTGAGGGGGGGGCTGAGTGTGTACAGGTGTGAGGGGGGGGCACTGAGTGTGTACAGGTGTGAAGGGGCTGAGTGCGTACAGGTGTGAGGGGGGGGGGCTGAGTGTGTACAGGTGTGAGGGGGGCTGAGTGCTACAGGTGTGAGGGGGGCTGAGTGTGTACAGGTGTGAGGGGGCTGAGTGTGTGTACAGGTGTGAGGGGGGCTGAGTGTGTATACAGGTGTGAAGGGGCTGAGTGTGTACAGGTGTGAGGGGGGCTGAGTGTGTACAGGTGTGAGGAGGGGCTGAGTGTGTGTACAGGTGTGAGGGGGGGCTGAGTGTGCGTACAGGTGTGAGGGGGGCTGAGTGTGTACAGGTGTGAGGGGGGCTGAGTGTGTACAGGTGTGAGGGGGGCTGAGTGTGTACAGGTGTGAGGGGGCTGAGTGTGTACAGGTGTGAGGGGGCTGAGTGTATACAGGTGTGAAGGGGCTGAGTGCGTACAGGTGTGAGGGGGGCTGAGTGCATACAGGTGTGAGGGGGGCTGAGTGCGTACAGGTGTGAGGGGGCTGAGTGTGTACAGGTTTGAGGGGGGGGCTGAGTGTGTACAGGTGTGAGGGGGGCTGAGTGTGTACAGGTGTGAAGGGGGCTGAGTGTGTACAGGTGTGAGGGGGCTGAGTGTGTACAGGTGTGAGGGGGGCTGAGTGTGTACAGGTGTGAGGGGGGCTTAGTGTGTGTACAGGTGTGAAGGGGGCTGAGTGTGTACAGGTGTGAGGGGGGCTGAGTGTGTACAGGTGTGAGGGGGGCTTAGTGTGTACAGGTGTGAGGGGGGGGCTGAGTGTGTACAGGTGTGAGGGGGGCTGAGTGTGTACAGGTGTGAGGGGGGCTGAGTGTGTACAGGTGTGAGGGGGGCTTAGTGTGTACAGGTTGAGGGGGGCTGAGTGTGTACAGGTGTGAAGGGGGCTGAGTGCGTACAGGTGTGAGGGGGGCTGAGTGCGTACAGGTGTGAGGGGGGCTGAGTGTGCACAGGCTGATGCAGCTCACATAGTTCTGGTTGCAGGGGGAAGGCAGAGTAATATCATCTGCACTCCACTTCTTCCTGCAGGCCAGATGCTGGTTTGGGTGACATGCCAGTCACAGCTCAGCCACATGGAAAAGCTGCATTGCATGTAGCCTGCAGGGCTGCTCGGTGCTCATTGTGGACTGGTTTGGAGACAAGTTGTTAGACATCACAATGGTAAGTTGATAATGTTGATGGATGTGGGCCTGTGCTGTGACTGTCACTTTTGCTGGATTGGGCTGTTTGTGACTGTTTGTATGTTGCATGGAATGTCTCTATGCTGGGTTGGGATGTCTCTTTGCTATATGGGGTTGTTTCTTTGCTGAATTGGGATGTCTCCTTGCTGAATATTTGGGGATGTCTCTCTGTTGAATATATGGGGATGTCTCTGTTGGATTGGGCTATCTCTTTGCTATATATATGTTTTTGTTTTGTTTTAGAGATTTTTTTTATTTTCTTAGATCTTTATGGGAAGATAGATTGTGGGAGGGGGGGGGGCATTGAAAAGGTAGTACAGTTAGTGTAAGGTCCTGCTCACAACAGTCTACTTTGCCGTGGTGGCAGGCTTCTTGTTTTTCGGCCACAATATAATTCCTTACTATTAAATCTTGAAAGCACTGATGACTTTGAATACACTTTTCATTTTCATATAATAAGTTGTAAGAGTGTTAAAATAAAAGTGGGTGCACTGAAGGACTCGGTGGGGTGATCCGGTGGGACGGCCCTGAGGAATGTTGGTGGTCAGGCCGGGGGGTCCAAGCCCAAAGCTGTGCAAGGGGTCCAAAAATTTCTGATGACTGCCCTGATGGCGGCAATGCTAGTCCTAGACTGACTGGGTGTGCACTGTCCAAAAGAAAAGGAGGATGGTAGTAGAGGGGGCAGGGGCACAAAAAGGGGCTTGCAGAGGGTTCTGTATAATGCAGTATAAGGTTGGTATAGGTTTGGAATAAGTGCGGTATAAAGTTCATTATGGATTGGGTACACATGGTGTCCTGCTCCCAGTACAGATTGGGTACACATGGTGTCCTGCTCCCAGTACAGATTGGGTACACATGGTGTCCTGCTCCCAGTACAGATTGGGTACACATGGTGTCCTGCTCCCAGTACAGATTGGGTACACATGGTGTCCTGCTCCCAGGATGGATTGGGTGCACATGGTGTCCTGCTCCCAGGATGGATTGGGTACACATTGTGTCCTGCTCCCAGTACGGATTGGGTACACGTGGTGTCCTGCTCCCAGTACGGATTGGGTACACGTGGTGTCCTGCTCCCAGTACGGATTGGGTACACATGGTGTCCTGCTCCCAGCATGGATTGGGTGCACATGCTGTCCTGCTCCCAGTATGGATTGGGTACACTTGGTGTCCTGCTCCCAGGACGGATTGGGTACACATGGTGTCCTGCTCCCAGGATGGATTGGGTACACTTGGTATCCTGTTCCCAGGATGGATTGGGTACACTTGGTGTCCTGCTCCCAGGATGGATTGGGTACACATGGTGTCCTGCTCCCAGGATGGATTGGGTACACTTGGTGTCCTGCTCCCAGGATGGATTGGGTACACAAGGTGTCCAGCTCCCAGGATGGATTGGGTACACAAGGTGTCCAGCTCCCAGGATGGATTGGGTGCACATGGTGTCCTGCTCCCAGTATGGACTGGGTACACTTGGTGTCCGGCTCCCAGGATGGATTGGGTACACATGGTGTCCTGCTCCCTGTATGGATTGGGTACACATGGTGTCCTGCTCTCTGTATGGATTGGGTACACATGGTGTCCTGCTCCCAGGATGGATTGGGTACACATGGTGTCCTGCTCTCTGTATGGATTGGGTACACATGGTGTCCTGCTCCCAGGATGGATTGGGTACACTTGGTATCCTGTTCCCAGGATGGATTGGGTACACTTGGTGTCCTGCTCCCAGGATGGATTGGGTACACATGGTGTCCTGCTCCCAGAATGGATTGGGTACACATTGGTGTCCTGCTCCCAGGATGGATTGGGTACACAAGGTGTCCAGCTCCCAGGATGGATTGGGTGCACATGGTGTCCTGCTCCCAGTATGGACTGGGTACACTTGGTGTCCTGCTCCCAGGATGGATTTGGTACACTTGGTGTCCTGCTCCCTGTATGGATTGGGTACACATGGTGTCCTGCTCTCTGTATGGATTGGGTACACATGGTGTCCTGCTCCCAGGATGGATTGGGTACACATGGTGTCCTGCTCTCAGGATGGATTGGGTACACATGGTGTCCTGCTCCCAGGATGGATTGGGTACACATGGTGTCCTGCTTCCAGTGGCTCAGTTCCTGCTAGCAGTATCAGCAATGGATGAATATCCCTCTCACCAGTTCCAGGGATGCTGCAGTGATCTCTTGCTGTAGAAGGGGGGGCCCCTTGGTCCCTCGGTCTCTTTAGTTTCCCTGCTGCAGCTGTGCAGGTACTGTGATGCGGGCGGTGCTACTCTGCTCCCGGGTGTCCTCACTCCCAGTCTCAGGCTCTGATCTCCTTTGGTGTGATCTTCCGCTGGCAGGCAAATATCAAGGCAGAGGTACTCTCTCTCTAACTCCTTCGGTGCCAGGAGGAAAAGTTTCCCCAGACAGTTTAACCACTTGCCTACCGGGCACTTATACCCCCTTATTTACCAGGCCAATTTTCAGCTTTCAGCGCTGCCGCACTTTGATTGATAATTGCGCGGTCATGCAACATTGTACCCATATGAAATTTTGATCATTTTTTTCTCACAAATAGAGCTTTCTTTTGGTGGTATTTAATCGCCACTGGGCGCTTTACTTTTTGCGCTATAAATAAAAAATTGCCAAAAATTTGAAAAAAAAAAAAAAAGTTTCTTTGTTTCTATTATAACATTTTTCAAACAGGTAATTTTTCTCCTTCACTGATGTGCATTGATGAGGCAGCACTGATGGGCACTGATAGGCGGCACTGATGGGCACTGATAGGCAGCACTAAAGGGCACTGATAGGCAGTACTAATGAGGTGGCACGGATAGCCGGCACTGATAGACAGCACTAATGAGGTGTCACGGATAGGCAGCACTAATATGCAGCACTGATAGGCAGCACTGATAGGTGACACTAATGATGGGTACTGATAGACGGCACTGACTGGCATCACTGCTGGGCACTGACTGGCGGCACTGACTGGCACAACCGCTGGGCATTGACTGGTGGCACTGACTGGCAGCACTGCTGGGCTGCACTGGTGGGTGGCACTGGTGGGCAGCACTGGTGGGTGGGCACAGGTGGGTGGCACTGGTGGGCACAGGTGGGTGGGCACAGGTGGGTGGCACTGCTGGGCACAGGTAGGTGGCACTTCTGGGCACAGGTGTGTGAAATTGCAGAGTGGCACAGGTGGGTGCACTGCTGGGCACAGGTGGGTGCACTGCTGGGCACAGGTGGGCGGAGCTAGTGGGCGCACTGCAGGGCACAGGTGGGCGGAACTTGCGGGTGGCACTGCTGGGCACCGATCATCAGGGCACTGATCATCAGTGCCCTGATGATCGGTGCCGATCCCCGCTCTGACAACTGCCGGTTCTCGGCAGTACTTTCCTCACGATCTGACAGCATGAGGAAAGTGCAGCCGAGAACCGGCACTTGCATTTCCCTCTGATCAGCGTGTCATTGGACACCGCTGATCAGGTGGTAAAAGGCCGCTGTGATTGGCCTTTTACCACATCACGTGATCAGCTGTGTCCGTAGGACACAGCGATCACGGAGATCGCCGGGTGCGCGCGCCCCTGGGGCGCGCAGGAGAGCGCGTTCTGGGGGGACGTCATATGACGTCCACTCAGAACTGGCCGGCCGCAGTGCAGCCGTCATTCGGCTCTCTGCGGTCGGCAACAAGTTAATAAAAATCATCTCCCCATTTCCTACTGCCTATTAGGACTTGTATTGTAAGGAGTCCATTCATCTCATTATATGACTGCCATCCAGGGGCGGACTGACCATTTGGAAACTCTGGCACTGCCCGAGGGCCCGGGGTCAGTAGGGGGCCCCATGAGATGCCCCTGGTACCTTTTTCATAGGCTTTTTTGAGTTTGGGCAAGGACACAGGGGCCCCATGATCCCCTATTGCCCGGGGGCCCCATGAGTTGTCAGTCCGCCCCTGCAGCCATCTCAAACTACAACTCCCGGGATTCTCAGCGGTCTGCATAGATGTCTAAAGGCTCGAGAGAAGATAAAAAGACAATGTAATGTAACAGAAGTTTCCAGAACTGGACACAGTATTCTACTTGAGGTCTAACTAGAGATCTATATAGAGGAATCACGACCTTCTTCTGGGGATCCCTCTAGAGATAATTAGAGATCTATAAAGATGAAGCAAGGCCTTCTTAGTTTTGCCGGAGATCCATCCAGTGGTAATTAAAGATCTATATAGAAGAATCCGGACCTCCTTCCTCCTCCTGGTAATCCTTTTAGCGATATAAAGATCTATATAGAGGAATCGGAACCTCCTTCCTCCTGCCGGTGACCCCTCTAGTGATATAAAGATCTATATAGAGGAATCAGGACCTTCTTCCTCCTCCTGGTGATCCTTCTAGTGATATAAAGATCTATATACAGTTGCAAGAAAAAGTATGTGAACCCCTTGGGATTCCGTGGAGTTTTGCATGAATTGGGCATAAAATGTGCTCTGAACGTCATCTAAGTCACAACAATAGAAGAACACAGTCTGCTGAACATAATACTACACAAACATTAGATGTTGCCATGGTTTAATTGCACATAACATGTAAACATTCACAGTGCAGGGAGGAAAAAGTATGTGAACCTTTGGACTTAATAACTAGTTGACCCTCCTTTGGCAGCAATAACTTCAACCAAACGTTTCCTGTAGTTGCAGATCAGACCTGCACAACGATCTGGAGTCATTTTGGACCACTCCTCTTCACAAAACTGTTTCAGTGTAGCAATATTCTTGGGATGTCTGGTGTGAATCGCTCTCTTAAGGTCATGCCACAGCATTTCAATCGGGTTGAGGTCAGGACTCTGACTGGGCCACTCCAGAAGGCGTATTCTGTGCTGTTGCAGCCATTGTTTTGTTGAATGACTTGTATGCTTTGGGTCATTGTCCTGTTGCATCACCCATCCTCTACGGAGCTTCAGTTGGCGGACAGATGGTCGTACGTTTTCCTGCAAAATGTCTTGATAAACTCTGGAATTCATTTTCCCATCAATGACAACAATCCGTCCAGGCCCTGAGGCAGCAAAGCAGCCCCAAACCATGATGCTCCCTCCGCCATGTTTCACAGTGGGGATGAGGTTTTGATGTTGGTGTGCTGGGCCTTTTTTTCTCCACACATGGTGTTGTGTGTTCTTCCCAAACAACTCAATCTTGGTTTCATCTGTCCACAGTATATTTTGCCAGTAGTGCTGTGGAACATCCAGGTGCTCTTTTGCAAACTTCAAACGTGCTGCAATCTTCTTTTTGGGCAGCAATGGCTTCCTCCGTGGTGTCCTCCCATGTACTCCATTCTTGTTTCATGTTTTCCTTATTGTAGATGTGTCAACAAAAATGTTAGCATGTGCCAGAGATTTCTGTAGGTCTTCAGCTGACACTCTGGGATTCTTCTTTACCTCATGCAGCATTCTATGCTGTGCTCTTGCAGTCATTTTTACAGGACGACCATGCCTAGGGAGAGTAGCAACAGTGCTAAACTTTCTCCATTTGTAGACAGTCTGTCTTACCGTGGACACATGAACATCAAGGCTTTTGGAGATACTTTTGTAACCCTTTCCAGCTTCATGCAAGTCAACAATTCTTGATGGTAGGTCTTCTGAGAGCTCTTTTCTGCGAGGCATGGTTCACATCAGACAGTGCTTCTTGAAACCAGTAAACCCAAAACAGCTGTGTGTTTTTTAAGGGCAGGACAGCTGTCAGCAACACATCCAATATCATCACACTGATTGGAGTCAAGGTTGGCTCACTCCTGGCTCCAATTAGCTCTGGGAGAAGTCATTAAGCTAGGGCCTCACATACTTTTTCCTCCCTGCACTGTGAATGTTTACATGTTATGTGCAATTAAACCATGGCAACATCTAATGTTTGTGTAGTATAATGTTCAGCAGACTGTGTTCTTCTATTGTTGTGACTTAGATGACGTTCAGAGCACATTTTATGCCCAATTCATGCAAAACTCCACGTAATCCCAAGGGGTTCACATACTTTTTCTTGCAACTGTAGAGGAATCAGGACCTTCTTCCTCCTCCTGGTGATCCTTCTAGTGATATAAAGATCTATATAGAGGAATCAGGACCTCCTTCCTCCTGCTGGTGATCCTTCTAGTGATATAAAGATCTACATAGAGGAATCGGGACCTCCTTCCTCCTGCCGTTGACCCCTCTAGTGATATAAAGATCTACATAGAGGAATCAGGACCTCCTTCCTCCTGCTGGTGATCCTTCTAGTGATATAAAGATCTACATAGAGGAATCGGGACCTCCTTCCTCATGCTGGTGACCTCTCTAGTGATATAAAGATCTATATAGAGGAATCAGGACCTTATTCCTCCTCCTGGTGATCCTTCTAGTGATATAAAGATCTACATAGAGGAATCAGGACCTTCTTCCTCCTCCTGGTGATCCTTCTAGTGATATAAAGATCTACATAGAGGAATCAGGACCTTTTTCCTCCTGGTGGTGATCCTTCTAGTGATATAAAGATCTATATAGAGGAATCAGGACCTCCTTCCTCCTGCTGGTGATACCTCTAGGGATATAAAGATCTATATAGAGAAATCAGGACCTCCTTCCTCCTGCTGGTGAGCCCTCTAGAGATAACTAGAGATCTATAAAGAGGAAGCATGGCCATCTTACTTTTGCTGGTGATCCATCCAGTGGTAATTAAAGATCTACAGTATATAGATTACTGCTTATTTTGCAGTGATCCAAAATACATACCCCCAAAACGTCTGTAGCTCTGGCCAATACTGTAACTCTGTAGATGTACTCTATCAGAGGTTCCTAAAGGCCTTATTTTACAAACTGATATTAAGAACTGGCTGACCATGCTGTGCAGCATATATACCGCTTATCAAAAGTACACGGCTCAAAAAAATGAAAGGAACACTTTGAAAACACATCAGATCTCAATGGGGAGAAATCTCCTGCTGGATCTCTATACTGACATGGACGGGGTAACGTGTTAGGAACGTAAGGACACCCCATGAAAGTGATCGACCGACAGAGGACTGAATTCAAAGACACCCCCCGAAATTCAAAGTGAAAAAATGATGCAGCAGGCGAGTCCATTTGGCTGAAATTTCGTTGCAGCAACTTTCATTGCAGGATGGTGTCCTGGGGTATTTCCTCCCAGATCTGGACCAAGGCATCACTGAGCTCCTGGACAGTCTGAGGTACAATCTGGCGGTGTCGAATGGACCGAAACATGACATCCCAGAGGTGTTCTATTGGATTTAGGTCAGGTGAGTGTGGGGGCCATTCAATGGTATCAATTCCTTCATCCTCCAGGATCTGCCTGCATACTCTCGTCACATGAGGCCGGGCATTGTCGTGCACCAGGAGGAACCTAGGACCCACTGCACCAGGAGGAACCCAGGACCCACTGCACCAGGAGGAACCCAGGGCCCTCTGCACCAGGAGGAACCCAGGACCCTCTGCACCAGGAGGAACCCAGGGCCCTCTGCACCAGGAGGAACCCAGGACCCTCTGCACCAGGAGGAACCCAGGGCCCTCTGCACCAGGAGGAACCCAGGGCCCTCTGCACCAGGAGGAACCCAGGGCCCTCTGCGCCAGGAGGAACCCAGGACCCTCTGCGCCAGGAGGAACCCAGGACCCTCTGCGCCAGGAGGAACCCAGGGCCCTCTGCACCAGGAGGAACCCAGGACCCTCTGCACCAGGAGGAACCCAGGGCCCTCTGCACCAGGAGGAACCCAGGGCCCTCTGCACCAGGAGGAACCCAGGACCCTCTGCACCAGGAGGAATCCAGGACCCTCTGCACCAGGAGGAACCCAGGACCCTCTGCACCAGGAGGAACCCAGGACCCTCTGCACCAGGAGGAACCCAGGACCCTCTGCACCAGGAGGAACCCAGGACCCTCTGCACCAGGAGGAACCCAGGACCCTCTGCACCAGGAGGAACCGAGGACCCACTGCACCAGGAGGAACCCAGGACCCACTGCACCAGCATAAGGTCTGCCAATGGGTCCAAGGACTTCATCCCAATACCTAATGGTAGTCAGCATGCCATTGTCTAGCCTGTAGAGGTCTGTGCGTCCCTCCATGGATATGCCTCCCCAGACCATCACTGACCCACCACCAAAACGGTCATGCTGAACCATGTTACAGGCAGCAGAACATTCTCCACGGCTTCTCCAGACCCTTTCACGTCTGTCACATGTGCTCAGGGTGAACCTGCTCTCATCTATGAAAAGCACAGGGTGCCAGTGGTGGACCTGCCAATTCTGGTGTTCAATGGCAAATGCCAATCAAGCTCTATGGTGCCGGGCAGTGAGCACAGGGCCCACTAGAGGATGTCGGGCCCTCAGGCCACCCTCATGAAGTCTGTTTCTGATTGTTTGGTCAGAGATATTCCCACCAGTGGCCTGCTGGAGGTCATTTTGTAGGGCTCTGGCAGTGC